CTTTTCTTCAATATTTCTTCATTTTCTTTGGCTTCTTTATGTTTTTGTTTCAGCAGCTTTGCTTTCTGTTGAACTTGTATCTTCTTTATTTCCTTTCTAATTGTATTTTTCTTTTTCTCTTTGTGTTGTTTTATTTCCATTAATTTTACTGATTCTCTAAAGCGCTGTAATAATAGTTCTAAATTTATTTTGTTATATTGCCTTTGTCAACACTTTCACTGTTTATCTAGTCTTCTTATCCATTCTGTTTCTATTCTAGCTTGTGCATACTCGGTGGCCATTCTTTCTTTATTACAGTACATGCAAACAGTTTTTTTCTTTTTGCTGTGCATAGGTTTCTTATAATACTGGTTACTTCGTCTAATAAAATGTGTTCTGTTAGATCGATTTCTAACTATATCACCTCTTGATATAATATATTATTTCTTTTACTAAGTGCAAGTTCTGTATATTTAATTCTTTTTGCTCTATATTGTTTTAATTCTATATATATTGCTGCTATTCATTCCTCTGCTTGTTCTACTATTATAGGTTTAGTTTCAGCATTTTTTATTGTTTCTTATTTCATATGATTAATTTGTTGTGTTTGTATATCTTCTTTGTTTTCATCTGTCACATGTTTTTTAGCGTGTTTTCTTTGTTTATTTTTCATTATATGTTGTATATCTTGTGTGTTAGTAACTGATCTGCATTACAGTGTCAAGGCCAATCTCCAAACAACTTGCAAAGGACAAAATTATCGACGATTTTTTTAGTTTTTTACTATATCTTGCCACTTTTGCTTTATTTACTCAAGTTTCTTAAGAGACTGAGTATTATTTTTAGTCTTCTTGCTTTTTCTTTAGAGCTGCAAGTCTTGTTTTCTATAGCCATTTGTGTATTTCTGTCATTTTTTGTTATTGTTTTGTTTTTGTATTTTTGTATACAGAGAATCGATTTTACAAAAATTTCTAATATATAGTATTAATATTATATATATATAATATATTAATTATATGAATCTTAGTAACTATAACTCATGGTGATGATCACCATATTACACAACATATTTGTTATATTAATATATTTGTTATATATATATTATTTATAACTTATTAGTAGATTATACATATTACACAGAAATTATTAGTAGTTAGTGCCAGTAATATAAACTTTAAATTTTGACTATTCTAGACTAGTATAATGTTACAATAAAATTCAAAAGACAAAAAAAGTAAAAATACTTAAATGTTAATATTTAACTCAGTCTTATTTTCATATACAATGTAGTTTGTATTACTGGCAAGAATAAGTAAATCTGTATATACGTACATATATATGAATATATCAATATATAATTGTATAAGCACATGTACTATATACTGCTTATTTTGCTTATAGCTAAGTAGTTTACTTGAGGTGCTTTTTTATTAAAAAATCTTAGCTTTTGACAACTCTATTAAATAATGATGTTTATCATATGAAAGACATTTATAGGTGTATTTAAAACTTGAAATATATAGGATATCCAATATAAATACTATTGTACAGTGCTATAAGTCTTGTATATGGTTCACTTATATCATATATTTTATTTATCCCTTATTAATTAACTACCTAGTTAAATTGTACGTTAATATACTTCACTCTTTCAACAGTTTTTTAAAAAAAACAATTGAATATGTTATTTTAATGCACTACCAAATAAGAAATGAGTTCTTACAATTAGTATCCAGTTAGTGAAAAAGCTCAAAAAAATAAACATCATAAAAAAAAACAAAAATGAAGATACTTATCTGATATTGAATAGTATGATACACTTCGAATACTCTTTATATTTAGAGTGTATTATTATTCTAACGCTAAAAACAATACCTTTTTTATAGTTAGAATCAAATTCATGACTATAAAGGTTATGATTTTAATATTTTACTGCTTATTCCCAAATGAATTCAATTTAAAAATTGCTATATAGTTCAGAACATATACACTATATCATAATAACTACAAATGTGTTATGAATTCTACTTGCTATTAATATTAACATGCACTATATAACATTATTCTTACTATTTACATTATAGAGAATGTACTACGATCTTATCTTCTTGCTATTTACATATGTGTGTATTATAACTCATCCCACCACATATATTGCATACATATTTTCTTTTATTTTCTTGGTATAATTCTTTAGTATTGTTGTCTAAAACATTATTACCACCTGGATTAATATTTGAGAAAGGTATTTTCTAAGATTAGAATCTTGAGGATCAATTGTATAATTACATACTAGCCCTCTATAGTTTAGATTTTTAGAAGATCCTTTTAATCTTTTAGTAGGTGGATGTTCACGACGTTTTGTAACTAAAAGATCAACTATGACTTTCTGTTCATGTTGAGAACTTTCATTGTTGAGGTTTTCAAGCATAGATTTTTTCTGATCAATAAACTGAGTAATCATATTCATTAATTCTTCCACACATCCAAGATCCAGTGCAAGATTAAATACTTTTTTTAATTTTCCAAATCTGTTAGCATATATGACTTTTTTGCTAATCAATTGCTTATGCTTTGCATCATACAAATTAGCATCTCGAATTTGTTCTATGATATGAGGATCCAGAACAGTTATTTTTGAAGCATTTTGCTGAAACATAGTTGAAATTTTAATACATTACTGCTGTAAAACCTTCAATTCTTTGTCTTGGTAATCATCTTGATACTAATGTCTTGGAACTAATCCGATATAAAACTTTGCCATTTTAGTGTTTATCATTATTTGAAAAAAGCGAACACATATAATGCTACAGTTAATAATGGACATGCAAGTGCATAGATGTCCACCATCACTTAACAAGATTACGTAGTGCTTGTAAACTGCTGATAAACTCATAAGTTCACAGATTTCAACAACATTATTTATATTGATATCTTTTATAAAAGACATAATAGAAATTTGAGATCTATCAATTTGATTCTCCAGAAAATCCTTATCATAATTCAACAAAAAAAAAAAAAAGAAAAGCCAAATTTAAAGTTAAAAATACAATCAATCAAAAATGTATAATAAATAATAACCTAATTATTTAATCTAATCTGTAGTTTCTGAATATTATTCTTTGATCGTAGTTGTGCTTAATACATAAGAAACCCAATAATTTGCTATTGTTGAATAGCTAATATATAGGGCATTTAATATATTTTCAATATTTCCAAAACCTTTGGAAATATTAACTCAGCAACTGTTAATGCTTGATTGATAGGAAGGGAATTAAAATAGCTATTATGTTGCGACCATTTAGTCTTATTATCTAATAGATTTTGTATATGTTTATAAAGGTCATGCAACGAAGTAGTACTTCTTACACCTTTCTTAATCATTCTGTTTATTATCTTAACATGTTGAGTACTCTTAACTCCTGCAGTAAAATGCTTTAACTGATAATATTAGGCCCATGATTTAATACATTCTTGTAACATTTGATTAAAATAATTATTTGTTTGAGGATATTTGTTTAATAAATATAATTACTATCTATAAAAATCTTCTTCAAACATACTATTTCATGTATGTAAAAATTCTTTGTAAAAATCATCAAATTATTTTCCAAGTTTGCTTCGTAAATTTTGCAAATATTTTTCTAAATGTGAAAAATACATAAAAAGTGATGTGTAGTAGATAGTCTTGAAGAAATGTCACTACTTAGTACGGGTTCAGTATCTGAAAATAAAACTGCTAAGGATATATTATATGCTGCATTTTTGACATATTCAAGAAACTATTCATATGCTTCAGTGGTTTCATCATTAGACAATGCTTGAAATACTAGCTGAGTCTTTATGTTATTATTAATTACTATTAAAAGTGTGAGGTGCATGTCAAACTAATTTGTTTTATATATTGTCAGTCTGAATAATATCAATATAACAAATCAGACACTATTGCTGCATTAGAAACATCCAAAAGATTCTCACCAGCCTGTTATCATAAGGATCTATTCTAATATTGACAATCCAATCAAAATCTTTGCTTTTTAACTACAACAAATAATCTATAAAATGCTGAGAGAAGTAGGTTTAAAAAATAAGCATATACTTATTATTAAAATCACAAAAATACTCATTGTTAAAATTTTGTTAAAATTATTACCTGTGCTTCTCCATAATGTTGACTAGGCATTTTTGAAACTTTTTAACTACATTATAAAGATTAGTTTTATAAATTGTGTAATCAGAAAATTTTGCTGTCAAAAGTGATAAGATTTATTTAAATTCCATATTCCATTTTGTAATATAAAATTCTATCATGTCTAGAATTTCTAAAGACAACTTTCTATATTTTGAAGCATATAGAGATACTTCTAGTTGCATTTGATGATTATGCTTTTCCTCTATATTTGTAATAGCAACAACCTTAGAAGACTTTAGTTTTGATAGATTTACATGCTAAGAATATGAAATTTTACTTGAATTTCGATTGCATTGTTGAGAAAGGTCAATAACTTTGTTGCTAATAACTTTACCTGCATGTATACATTCAAAGGTACGCCATCTAACTTCACCATTTTCATTAACTGTTACTCTCTTTTGATATAATGAAAAACCTGTAGCTTTAGCATAATGATTGAGATGTGCTTTTGTTTATTGTTTGGCTCAATTTCTGAAGATTGCAGATTTTGTTCATCATTTGATTCAATTTTTGAAGGTCGAAGAACTTGTTCATCGTTTGGCTCAATTTCTGAAGGTTGAAGATCTTGTTCATCATTTGGCTCAATTAAAAGTAATTCTGTATGAGAAAGTATTAATTCTAAGCCCAAGCTATTTGTAGTTTCAATATCAACTGAAGAACTGTTTGTAGATTCAGGAGGACTTGTATTTAAATATTTTTTTTAAAAAAAAAAAAAAAAAATTAGAAACAGTAAATCTAACCTTTTATACAGCATTCTTTGAATGATAATGATACTATCTACCTTTCATAATTTTTTTTTATAACTGGGCTAGAAATGAAAGAATTACGGCAACGAAAGAAGCACAACAAGGAAGCAATAAAGGAAGCATAACAAGAAAGCACAAATAAGCAAGAAATAAAGTACAATAAATAAGCAAAAAAGAAGCAATAATAAGCAAACAAGCAATGAAAGCAAATGAAAAGCAAACAAGAAAGCAAAGCAAGCAAGCAGAAAAAAAATGTCGGTATATAATTAAGGATATAAGCAAATACAATAATGAAAAAAATATAGCAGTAAAAGGTAAACGTGATCAAAGTAAAACAGTATTAGTATTGTAAAAAATAACTTTAATACGATGTGTAACTAAAAACAAAATAAGTACAGCAAAGAAAAAAAAGCTGTGCAAAAGACAAAAAAGAACACAGCAGTAAAAAACAAATATGATCACAATAAAGCAGTTTAAGTAACACAAAAAAATAATTTTAATACAATGTGTTAATAAAAACAAGAGCATACAGCAAAGAAAAAAAGCTGTGCAAGAAAAGTATACAAATAAAGATGCGATCAGTATTAGTAATATGATACTAAAATAAATAAAAAAATTCTGTGATTGCTCAATCAATCTGATCATATATAAATGATGCATAACTATAAATTACATAGAGTAGTGATCATTATCATTAGTTATTTTACTATAACTTAAATTTTAATTATATTATAAAACTATTATAGCTGAAGATAACCAAGATTGGAAGTAATCTATGAGGCTACGAGGCCATATCCCAGAAGGAACTACCAAATTTAGAAGCTTAGATATAAGTAATATAAGAGATGCAAGAAATGATGTTATAAGGAAATGTACCAAAATAAAACTAGTAAAAGGTGAAAAAATATTGGATGAGTGCTATTTATAAGAATGTACTATTCCAGTAGATTTGGATCACAGATAATAGATTGGTGGCCAAATAGCAGATAGAGACACCTATCACGCAAGTGATAGTTTTGGCCAGAGCATAGGTAACCAATAGGAATTGGGTCTAAACTTGATGTACTTGATATATATAAATATGAAAATGTAGTAATATATGTAATGAAAGCATTAACAATAAATAAAGTCATGGGCAAAATCTCATCTAAACACCAAAAAAAATAAAATAAAATAATAAAAATATTATAAATTTTAATACTTTTAATATTATAACTAAAAGATTTTAATTGATAATCTGCCTATAAACTGAAGAATAGGTAAAATAAGACATCTGCCATCTAAAACTTTTTTCTTACTAAGTTAAAGATGCATGCTTACTAATTGAAAGTTATAGAACTTGTTGAGACGTATCTAATGGTAGTTAGATTATCCAAATCAGCCCAGTGGATGGCGAGCTATCATCAGAATACGATTGGCTAACTATATAAAAATCTGTAATGAAAATTATATATAAAAATCACTATCGTCAAAATGTAGCGAGCTCCCATCTAAAACTTTTTTTCTTACTAAGTTAACAATATATAGCTATTAATTGAAAGTTGTAGAGCTTGTCGAGATGCATCTAATGGTGGTTAGATCATCCAAATCGGCCTAGTAGATGGTGAGATATCATTAAAAAATGATTGGCTAACTATATAAAATCTCTATGTAAACAAACATTGTTTAGAGATTTTATATAGTCAGCCAATCGTTTTTCAACAATATTTTGCCATCCACATGCCAATTTGGATGATCTAACCACCATTAGATGCGTCTCGACAAGCTCTACAACTTTTAATTAATGCAGTCTCAAATATTATCAAATTTAGATGTTGTAGATTACTTCTTTTTTTGTACGATTAGAAAATTTTTAAGGCTTCCATTTAAGTTTATTACTAATTTATGAAGATCCATGAGACTAAATTTATGCCAATCACTGTTCATTTTTTTATTTGGTAAACAACTGCCTTCTAAAGCTCTTGGAATTATTATTATTTTTTTTTAATGTTAAGGTGACCACTTAGGGGTCTGGCACGTTTTATTAAACTTTGATTTGAATGTCAGGGCAACTCATTTAGGCTACCCCTGACTTTGTTACATTGACGAGGGTACAACTAGCCATATGTACAACTTTTGGTTGTCTATTTAAGCAGTCTTACATATGTAACCCATATAAACTACACTAGATGCTATACCTATAACCCAACTAAGAAGATTATCTATTTAAATCCTCTAATCAACTTAGCGCTATCGGATATTTTTCTTAAAGAGGGACTGCCGGGAAGGCCCCTTAGGACTTTAAAGCGGACACACACTTCCATATAGGGAGGTCCTTTATCCTCATAATAAACCTACTAGAGCGGTCCATGTCTCATGCATGTATCACCTAGATTTTCGGTAACTTACGTCTAGGCCGAGGCCAAGTACTTGCGGCTTTTTTTTTTACCTCCGCTACCATTACCTACTCTGTGCCCTTGCAAAGTTCACACAAACCCCAGCACTCACTATACA